ACTTTCTCCATATCAGCAATAAGGCTGTTTCGCGTTCTTATCATTTGTGTGTTCACTGGAGTAGCGATTTTAATTTCCTTCAAGAACTTTACCTTTGCATTCACAAGTTGGCTGTTTGGTGCAAGAGGCTAGCTTTCAGCCTATCTTGGCTTTCGACATGCCTTCCTCACTAAACTTAATCGCTTCTAGCTTTTGATTTAAAGAGAGATGTGCAACTCTTCCTTTCACTTGAATACTTAAAGGCCATTGTAGGGTTATTAATTGGCCTAATTTCAATATTGTTTTGTCTCAGGGAATAGGGAGGCCCGAGGAGAGAGAGAGAGAGACGGGGGAATGGCAGGCCAGTAGAGCAGTCAGAACACACATAAGTTATCGATTAAGTACCCCATCTTATATAGATGTGGTTTGTGGGACCCGAAAACAATTACGATGGTAACATCAGAGATCACGGATCACCATAACAAATATAGTAATTATGAGAGTTTGAAATATTGCAAGAATTACCAAAATGTGAGCGAAGTGAGCAAATGCTGTTGGAAAAATGGTGCCAGTGGACTTGCTTGACACGAGGTTGCCACAGACCTTCAATTTGTTGAAAAAAGCAATATCTGCAAAGCACCGTAAAGCAAAGCATAATAAAACGAGGTATGCCTGTATGTATCTGATTTCAAAAGAAATTAAGGAAATATTTAAATTGTCCTCACTATACTTCCTTTTTAAAAGATACCTTATTGATTCAACTTTTTGTTCATAAGAACTAAGAGTAATTGCAGTTAGGAGGATTGTCATTGACTCACGTGTAATAATGGTTGTATCAGGTGTGTTGATTGCAAACAACAGATGTCACCTCTGGCTAACTTGGGCAAAAAGGACTTTGATGGAAGGCTGTTGGGGGCCTTTAGAGTTGGCAGGGGGCTGCTAGCTGGAGGCAGCACGGAGGCCAGGATGTGGGGACTTGTACAGCAGGCAGTCCCTCAGCTGCAACACGAATGGTCTGGAATGGTCTGGCCAGGATGCTGCTGCTCCTGATATGAGTGACCTCCAGCCATTCACCTACTTGCTCAAGACCCCAGTACTCCAGGAGGGTCTTACTGGCTGAGCTTAGGTCACTTGCCCACTGTCTATACTGGGGAAGGAGAGGGAGGGTCCAACCTTCTGGGGGGCTGATGTTGTGAGTCGCCTTCATCAAGGGTTACACTCCCACCAAAACTCGGAGGAGAAAGGTGAAACTGCCTAAAAGGAGTGAAGAACAGAGACGGATTCTAGGTGGCATCACTGCCCCCAAAAGATCTTTTAGCAATGATATGTTTCATTTTTATTGTAAGAGTGGTTTTATGAACATTATAATCTCATTTGATTCTCACAAAACTCTGAGCTCAGAATGTTTGGATAGAGAATGGAACCTTAGTTTTAGTGTATCTGGTGTGCTTTAAATTTTCAGTAGAAGCTCAGAGGAAGCTACTTTACTTGCCCAAGAATAGTAAGTGGCAGTCCCAGGACTCATCACAGTTCTTCTAACTTATAATCTAGTGGGCTTGCCTCTCTGCCACCCTATATTTGGCCTGGTCTGTCTCAGTTTGGACTGATTTTTCTTACAGGTTACATAAGGACAGGCTCAATCTTTCTGGCCCAAACTCAGGACCGGCTGATCTCTCTGAAGCGCATCAACTCAAGGCTGAAGTACGTATGAGGCTAGAAGCCTGTCCTGACTTTACTGTCAGACTGACCCCTGCCAGAGGGCCAGTGAATGTCATTGTCCCCTTGTGTTCTGTGGCAGTGTTATAGGCATCCCTTCTGAGATCATCCCCCTTCAAGATAATGACTGGAAACTATACTGAAGAGTCAGCTTGCTGGGCTTCTTCCTTTCTTCAATTACTTGTTGTTAACGTGGTATGTAATATATTTAATCTGGTATGGTAATAATCAGGTTCTTGTAATTTGAGAGTTGTCTCCTTCAAAGTAATCACCATAGGTGGCTCTCCTCATATTCCAGAAATGTCTTTGTGTAGTATGTTTTTGGAACTCTTTTGGAGTTAGTCATGGAGCCTGTGGGATGTTTTTTATACTCCTTGTCATAACAAATGTTGGTTACTCGTAGAACTGGAAATAAAAGGAGTAGGTCTGGGGCCGGCCCCCTGGCTTAGCGGTTAATTGCACACGCTCCGCTGCTGGCAGCCTGGGTTTGGATCCCAGGCGCGCACTGACGCACTGCTTCTCCAGCCATGCTGAGGCTGCGTCCCACATACAGCAACTAGAAGGGTGTGCAACTATCTGCTGGGGCTGTGGGGACAAAAAGGAGGAGGATTGGCAATAGATGTTAGCTCAGAACTGGTGTTCCTCGGCAAAAAGAGGAGGATTAGCACAGATGTTAGCTCAGGGCTGATCTTCCTCACGAGAAAAAAAAAAAAAAAGGAGTAGATCTGGAAGAAGAGATGAGATTGTTGTAGACACATTAGCCTTCCTATAGATTCCCAGATGAGTTACTCAAAAAATATTTGGGTAAACAGCATCAAGTCCAGTGACTAAATTTGTGGATGGAAGCTGAGCACAGTAAAGGATCACTGGCTGCTTCTCTTAGATAATATTCTTCTCTTCCTGTTATTGTGAGCAAGAATGCACACATCCTGTTTTCCATACAGACATGGGCGATACGTCAAGTGCCACGTTCCTCCGATGAAGTCATTTGTAAGGCAGGTTGGCAGGTTTAGTGACAGGGATAGTGACTGCAGGAGGAAGATGGGAGGCTTTCTCAGCCATGCCCCCACTGCACGCAGGGTAACATAAATAGCCTGTCTCTTCTTTACCTCGGTTTCCAAATTTTTACTCTTTGGTAACCCTGGTATAAATGGTTTTATGCATGTTTATCTTTTGAGATAGCAAGTACATATATCAGGTTACTTCAAATGAAGAACACTTCACAAGTAGACACAGCAAGAGTTATTAAAATGTCTGTTTATTCCTTTACAAACCTAGTAACATGAAAAGAAAATCTTAATTGAAATCTGGCTTGATAGAAATACAGTGCACAATGTTAATACCACATTCATTGAGGGTAGAAATGCTCGGTCACCCTGTGTGCCTAAAGTCACCAGGGCTCATGTGTTTACTAAAGTGCCTCAAATGTCTTCAGGACCACATGCTAACTCTACACAAGGACAGAAAAGGGCTGAGCTGAACTGCACATTTACAAATGCAAGTAATGAGTTATAGCACTTTACAGTAATTACAATGGCACTTTCATACTTCCCAAGAGTTGACCAGAGAGTAAAGTGTTAATCGTGTGCTAGAAAACTCTTCACTGAAACAAGCTGCAGAAGCTTTCTACCCCGCAGCCCCCATCTGTCTGGGGAAGAAGAGGCTATGCGGGGTGGATGGCAACACGCTTCTTTTCATCCTTCCTCTCTACACCCACCATGTGACATTCTGGAGTGTAAGGCACTAGAACCTGGCTTGGAGAAAAGAGTTGCTCCAACTCCAGTTCTTGGTGTGCAAAGGAAATCCTGGCTTAGATCTTCTGAAACAGATGCTAAAAATATCCTCCCCACCTCTTGTAATTTCTGTCCTTGAGAGACAGAAAAATGAGAAGGCAGAAGAAGGTTTGCAAAGGATAAAAATATATCATGAGAAGCTAGCCCATGAAGAAATGTGTAATTCTCCAAGGGCTGCAGACACTCTGCTCAGAAAAGTCAAGAATCATATTATACAAGGAACAACTCTGGTGTTTAATGGACAAAGGTAAAGACATACAAAAATACTCAGTCCTCTTGAAAAATAGTGCATTTGTAGTGATGATGGACTGCAAATGGGAGCCCCATAGGGACAATGAAGGAGCCTTACAACTCAGCACCTTGAAGTGGAGGCCAAGAGTGGGGGTGGTGGTGTGGGGGCAGGCGCTGACAGGCAGATCCATAGCTCATTCATGAGTTACTGCACAACGTGGTTAATGCCTATAACATCTTATTTCATCTATAATTTCTTCCACTCAAGTGTGCTGCTCCTGAATCCATGTGCCTGCAAATGACATGTGTGAGGTGAAAATTCTTTACTCAGGAGAATTTTCCCTATATCTTGTTGATAAAATGCTGCTTATATCAAGGTTTGTGAGGAGGAGGGTGTGCAGAAATAAAATGAAAACAGCAGAAGGTTGGAATACAGTTTAAGCACTGTTGACCAAACCTCTAGCTTAGATACTAAAGAGGATCTGTGCTGACTATACTGGCTAAGGGGCAACAAAGAGATTAAAAATGAACCTTGTAGCTAACCCCTGAAAGCAAGCCAGTGCAATTGTTCTACCAGGACACAGCCTTGTGAGGGTCAGAACCAAGCCTATAGGTCATGGAAGAGTCCCCTTTATCTGCCTCAGGTTCTCAAAGAATGAACACTGACTCAAACACCAGTAAATGTGTCCATAAGCCACAGGATAAACAGAGCCAGGAATCAAGGCAGTGGGTCATCTCTTCAGTGAAGCAAAGCCACTTTTAGAAAGCTGTCATTCCTGCCACATATATGGTGGTGGTAGGGAGGGGTTAACATTTCAAGTGCATGCAAAGGCAGGGTAATAGAGAAAGCTAAAAGTTATTTTTCATGTATTAGTTACTTTCTTAGAAACAAAAGCCCAGGGAAGAAGGTAAAACTCTTGGTCTGTACAAGGAGATGGAATGCAGGGACAGCATGCCTCCTGATGAGAATCAAAATAACTGGACTCTATTCCTACAGAAATGGGATTTTTTGGGCCAAAGTGAAACTGAGGGTAACCACCTCCCACAGTTGGGGGTACAGGGACTCCACAGAAGAGCATTAGGAATGCAGTGGGAATTGTTCAGTTCTCTCTCCTGGAGCACGTCTTGCCCATGTGGTGCTATGTGACTGCAACACAAGTTAAAGGACATCAAACAGGCCACCCAAGCAGCTACTTCTTGTCCCTTTTTGCTCTTAAGACTTTCTGAATTCTCAGTGCCATTATCACAGACAGGAAATCTTTCTGATGCAAGCCTCAATGTAAGTCAAATGACCGTGGCAGTGCCAAGACACAGGATTTACATGTGGCATGAGTAACTAGGAGCTTAGAACATAACGTCAAGGGAGGAGAAGGCCCACAGGAGACTTAACAACCCTGGGTCTTCATTTGCTTGAGGCCAACACACTGTGTGTTTCTAGGTTCAAAAAGATTCTTCAATTGAATATGCTGACCAGATAGAAGAGAAGAGTACAGAGCCTCTCCCCCAAGAGGTGATGACGGATCATTTCAGAGAGAAAAAAGTACCAACCACCTAAAACGAAAAGTTCAGCTACCCATTCACAAGAATCCAGAATCCCCTGAATCTCTAGGGAGAGGTAAGTTGTCACACAAGGCAAACACTGTCCAAGAGATGGAAATGACACAGAAATGAGGGTGTCTTGATTGTCAATTATGCGAGAGGCAGGAAAGAGTCACCTCCTTCAGATTTAGGACCAAATACAGAAAACTACCAGATCCACACTGACTATATTGGAATGAACCAAAAGAGACTTCAAGGATGAATTTTAAAGTGCCAAAAGGTAAATATGTATGTTTCAGGGCACTCAACAAACAAGTGATGCCCCAGAAGATTAACATCTTAGCAGTGTCTTGGGAATGTGACTCCTATTTATGGACAAGATGTAATTGATGCATAAATATAGAATTTCTTTTGGATTCAATCCCAAATAATTTTTCATTTATAAAGACGGCTTTGGAGTGGTGCAGAGCATGGGATACCTTTAGCTCTATATCATCTGTTTCCATCTTCTCGGGTCAGTCAGATCACTTCTGGTAACACCTGCATTGGCCAAATGCCCTTTTCCTACTGTCCCAAGTCCTTCACAGCTGCTGTTCACTGCTCTGTTCTCCAGCTGGGCAACACCTCTCCTCCTTTCTCTTCTTTGCCTACGAACAGCATCTCTCAGCTAGTTAAATACACATTGGCACCAAAACAGCAAGGCCCCCAAACAGAATTCTAATCACATGCTGCTCCATTACTAAATCAACTAGTGTCCCCCCTTTTTAGGTCTTAAAGTCAGTAATCAAGGAGGAGTATTCTGGCTGGGGAAATGGCAAGAAATGTCTAGAAGGAACCAGTCTGATTAAGCAGGTCAACAGAGATCCCAAAGAAATGCCAGAGCAGACAAAATTTTAAGCTGCTCTAATAAAATGAAAGGATCCTCTTAATATACTTATAGACCATCAGAGCTAATGCTTCCAAGGTACCAAGACAACAAAGGCTATAGTTGAACTTCTCTAACAGCACTTTGCACTTAAAAAAAAAAAGAGTAGCGCAGTTATTATGCAAGGGAAAATGGAGTGATGAGATGATAGCACAGTCTGTGATATCCAGGTTTCACCCTTAGAAAACAGAAACACCATTTACAAGTCTGCAGGGCCCTCTTGGGGTACCCCAAGTCATTTTCTATTCCAGAGGATATGGAGAGATGGCTGGATGGGGGAAAAAAAGAGCCTGGAAGGAAAAGATGGAAAGCAGTCTTCTAGGCTCATGTAACGTACGCACTCCATACTCAGAACTCCCACTGGGACTGCGTGGGTCTTCTCTGTGTGGATCTGTCTGTTCCGTGCCAGAGGAAGCAAAACTTGGGATCCCAGTAGCTCTCTCAACCTCCGCATGACCAGCAAACTTAAATTACTCAACAAGGATGGCACTCCCTGCCTTCTCCTCCCTGTTGTAAAGGGAAAGAAATGTGTTGCTGAGCTAGGGGGCCTATTGCAGGAGGCATAAGTGAGGCTGAACTGATAAAGTCAAACGCAGTGGAGAAGACGAAAATCCAAGATGGGATGACTGAACTGTGAGTAGCTGAAAGAACAGCAGCACTCTTTTAGTAGTAGAAAACTCAGCATCAGTGGTGGTGTACTTCCTGAGGTCAGACCGTTTCAGCTGGGAAAAGCAACACAAAATCAACAACATGGTTTTTTCCTTTCAAACACTATGGCTTACTTGTCTACTCAGCCAAACAAACACACACACCAAACCCCTCAGTTATAGAGATTAGCAAGAGATGAAGAAAATTATAGGCAAGTGGCCCTGGCCCAACAGTCTGATAACTAGTTCTGTAGGGAGGCTGGGGATGGTGCCAGGTTAACTATTTATCTCTGCTGCAGACCAGATAATATCCATACAATGCCTCTCAGTGAGGTAGATGGTCATCCTCTTGTAGAGGTATCAGGGTGCCAATCCACAGCACAATGGAACAGGAGAATGATCTGCCTAGCTAAAAGGCACAAGCTGTTACACAAGAGTTGTATCAAACATACAGCAACCCACCCAAATGAACAGGTTACTCTGCGAAAACTTAGCCCCACGGAGCTGGACTCTTGCCCTGAGGCCTGCATACCACCAGCTTCCCTTATTCAAGACACAGCATTTGAAATCAGACTGTCACAGTAACCCACTTCCACAACTGGAGTTTGCTCCTGTCCTGCCTGTCAGACATGCTTCTTGTCACCATGGGAATCTGAGAGGGGTGGAGGGATGGGAAGAACAGCCCAGAGTGAGGAGCAGGAGATGGGGAACTGCAAAAGGGAGGAGGAGAAGATGGAAGGACAAGAGAAGCTGCAAAGCAAAAAGTTTAAAAGTAGGAAAAGTTTAAAATTATATCAAGGCGATAAGAGATGGGAGGCACAGGTTAAATCAAGAAGAGTGTTGGGCTCAGAAAGAGCAGAGAAGCTCCTAAGATGGTGAGAAAAATGGGAGGAGACAAGACTGCCTGGCATTACTTTCCGTGCAAGTCACTTAGCTCCACGTCATCCTTTCGGCGCTTATGGGTGAAGAGGGAGGTAACCGGGTAGAGCTTAGCCTTGGCCTGGAACCGGTGACCCGCGATGTCAATCTCATACTCTCCCCGGTTGATGAAATCTGCTGTCACCACCTGCTCTTCCCCAGTGTCCTCGGAGAAATTGTGCACGAAGCCCAGGCAAACATGGCGCTCCAGGGTGTAGCTGTAGGCACTGCTGGTGGTCTTGCCAACATACTGCCCATTTCGGTAAATGGGCTCTCCCCACCAAGGCCAGAGGTCCAGGTCTGTGTCGTGGTCATCCAGGATGAACATGGTGAAGCGTTTATACACCCCATTCTGCTTCTGCTGCAGCAGGGCATCTCGCCCAATGAAATCCATCCCCTAGGAAAGAAAGGTAATGCTGAGATGTCATCTACATTCTGACCCTCGGCACCTGAGTAGGACAAAGGGAAGGGTCCCCTGCAGTAGAGTGCAACACTCTTCCCCCGACACTCCTACAAGCTTCGGGGAAATTGTGTGTTTACCTCATGTTAAAAAGTATATTCACAACATAGAAGACACCTTCAGAGAATTTTTCTGTTTTGTAAATACAGGTTTCAATCACAAGACCACATAGAGCAAAAACATTTAGGAAGAAAAATTGACATTCAAAAATACTTGCTAGGGGCCCGGCCCATGGCTTAGTGGTTAGGTGCGCGCGCTCTGCTGCTGGCGGCCCGGGTTCGGATCCCGGGCGCGCACCGACGCACCGCTTCTCCGGCCATGCTGAGGCCACGTCCCACATACAGCAACTAGAAGGATGTGCAACAATGACATACAACTATCTACTGGGGCTTTGGGGTGGCGGGGGGAAGGAAGAGGATTGGCAATAGATGTTAGCTCAGAGCCAATCTTCCTCAGCAAAAAGAGGAGGATTAGCATGGATGTTAGCTCAGGGCTGATCTTCCTCACACACACAAAAAAATACTTGCTAGAATTGTTTTAGAAAAACAATGTTTTTATATAATCCCAACAAAAAGTCCACACATAAATCTGTATTCAATGCAGATATATGTATATATGCATATGTACAAAAACGTGAGCAGGATAAAATATCTATTAGGAATATATAAAATGTGAATGATTTTAATTTTCTTCTTTATATTTTTCTCTATTTTTCCAAATGAATATTCATTACTTTTATATCACAGGAAAACAGTTATCTGTAATTGCTCAAAAAGAATACTGTAGATCTGCTGTACTGCAAGGGAATGATTGCCAAGATGTTTTGTTAGGAAAAAAGCAAGGTGCAATGCAAGCACGTAGTATCCACCATCTAGGTTACAATATGTGACGGGAAATTGTACACTCTTCTGTTTGCACTACACTGACGCTCTCTAAAGGAGACAGGAAACTGCTTCTTCTGGTGAAATTGGCAGTGAGATTGGGTGGGGTTCAGAAGTGGGAAAGAGACTCTTCACTGAATATCCTCTTGAACTATAATTTTTAAAAAAAATCATGTTCGTATATTACTTTGAAAAGAAACAAAAAATTAGGCAGTTGAATGTAAGATGACTAATTTGTATAAATATTTGTGGCATGTTAATGAATCACCACAATCAACTCAGAAAGACTTCACAGAGCATTCAGTCTAAAAGAGAGCAAAGTGCTCCAAACAAGTGTTGGCTGTGTATTGTTTTCATACTAAGATGTTTTATCCCATAGATACATTTTTCATTCTCAGCACATCCTAATCGTCATGATTCACCTGATGCTATCACCGAGGTCTCAGTCCTTGTACACTTCTCCATCCACATCAGCTCCTCTTCCTACTCTAATGCAGACCCACTGCTCGGGAAGCTGAGTGACAGAGTGTGCATAGGTACAGTACCTTCTCTAATTTCACCCAAGACTCTCGTCCACATTCCAGCGGTGTGGTGAGGGTATTTAAATCCTGACCCCAGAAGGCAAAAAACTTCTCAATTCGGAGACTACGAAGAGCATAATACCCAGCATTCCGGATTCCGTATTTCTGCCCAACACTCATCACTTCATTGTATACATGCAGGGCATACTAGAGGGAGAGACAAAAGGTTAGTAACCAGGAGACCTTCGGAATTAAACATGGAATGTGTCTGGCAGTACCTGATGGCTGACATATTAACCTGGACAAGAGAAAAGTTTGTATAAAATTCTCAGAATGTCTCATCCTCAACAAACCAAAGTGCTACATACAGCCCAGGAATAACGAGCCGGGTCCCCCTTAACCCAGACTTAAGCTCCATGAAAACAGCATCCCTATCTTCTCACTTCTCTAAAATGTCTAGAAGAGTGACCTAAGTATACAGCAGTAATTAAAAAGCTCATACACGCATTCTCACCATTCAGTAAATGACCAGTCTCATAACTGCTTCTCACCAGCCCACTCATCCTCTGCCGACTTTGTTCTCTTGCTCCAATTCCCCAACCTCTGTCCTTCCCTTATGCGCTGGCCCGTGCTATGAAATGTGTATTACTCATAACCTAGATGTGCAGCTGCTTTTTCACACAGATAATGGCGTACCTTACTGACCCAGAAGGAGTCACAGAGGAGCCAGGAAAGCAGAGCTCTCCTACCCATGTCCCACGACATCCAGCCTCTCATGTTCTTTTCTTGGTTCCAGAAATGTAAGTATCAAATAACTTAAATGAACAGAAAGTTTTCTAAATTGAAAGCAAATATTCAATCCCTATCTAAATGTACTCTATACTGTCTAAAGCCCAATTACAGACTACACTGTTTGCTTTAAAAACTAAAAGTAAACAAAGGACAAGACACAGAAATAAGTCAGAGGAAGACACATGCTGTATGATCTCACTTATGTGTGGAATCTTAAAAAAAAAAAACCCATAGTAAAAAAGATCAGTGGTTACCAGAGGCAGGGGGTTGGGGAAGGGAGACTTGGAGGAAGGTGGTCAAAAGATACAAACTTCCAGTTAGAAGATAAAGAAGTACTAGGGATGTAATGTACATCATGACTATAGTTAATACTGCTGTATGATATATATGAAAGTTGTTAAGAGAATAGATCCTAAGGGTTCCCATCACAAGGAAAAAACATTTTTTTTTGCTTTTTATTGTATCTACGAGATGATGGATATAATCATTTCACAATATATGTAAGTCAAACCATTATGCTGTATGCCTTAATCTTATACAGTGATGTATGCCAATCATATCTCAATAAAACGGGGGGAAAAAAGGCAGAAGAAATCAGCTTCATTCATGTTGCAGTTTTTTTTTTTTGTGAGGAAGATCAGCCCTCAGCTAACAGCCATTGCCAATCCTCCTCTTTTTTGCTGAGGAAGATTGGCCCTGGGCTAACATCCATGCCCATCTTCCTCACTTTATATGGGACGCCACCACAGCATGGCTTGACAAGCAGTGCGTCGGTCGGCGCCCAGATCCGAACCTGCGAAACCCCGGGCTGCCAAAGCGGAGTGTGCACACTTAACCGCTGTGCCATTGGGTCGGCCCCCATTTTGCAGTTCTTTATCCTGGCAATGTACGGTGCTCTATAAATTGCACTACTGCAGCTGAACAGGCATCTACCAAACAGACCATTGTGGTCAAGACTACTTTAAATGTGGAAAAAGGGAATCCAAGCTACTGAACATACACACAGCCTGTGGAATGTGTGTCAGTGAAACACCTGAAATAGGAAAGGTGGGTGGAGGAGACCAATGGAGAGGGGCAGGGAAATGAGAATACTACAGAACTAGCATCTCTGGTTGGTTCAGTGCTCTTCCGTCTCAAGATAAATACTCTGTACTTGAGTTAAGACGAAGACAAAGGAGGAAAGATTTAAAGTTTTGGGCTAGATGAGAAGAGCAAAGGGAAAAGTGGGTACCCACCATTTACTCACTAAATGCTGGGGATTTGGTGTGAACAAAACAAGAATCTGCTGTCTTCCATGTTTTGGAAGACATCTCAAAGAGACAAATCCTTCTTGAGGACAAAAGCCAGCTTGAAAAGAACCTGGGCATGGCACAAATTACCTCAGGGACTCATGGAAAAATCATAAGAATGCGACTAGCCCAGGAAAATCAGAAGACAGAAACCAGAGCCCCCAAGTAATGAAACTGCTAGAGCCACAGAGCCTGCCCCTCCTCACGGAGTTTGGCCAGTTCATGACACAGGCACCCAGGTGGTAACACCTGAACGACCGTATGGCACTTCAGAATCAATCCCTGTCTGTACAGGCAAAACATCAGCTACAGTTGTATCAACTCTTCTCAAATCATGAATAATCCCTTCATCTTAATATTGTTATATTTCTGAGTATGGAAAAGCAGATGAAATTTCATGGGCTAATAAATTCATGCTTCATTTAATTAATAGACAACCTAACTACAAGTAATATGAGTAATGTCAAGAACAGGATAAGGCTGCCTATGATCACTGCTACTTGTCACAATTGGACAAGGGAAAGAAATGGCAGGAATAAAAATTGTCAAGAAAGAAGAAAAACTATTACTATTTGTACAAGTATGTGTCACTTAATGACAGGGATGTGATCTGAGAAATGCGTCGTTAGGCGATTTCGGTGTTGTGCAAACATCATAGAGTGTACTTACACAAACCTAGGTGGTACAGCCCACTACACACCCAGGCTATTGCGTATAGCCTACTGCTCCTAGGCTACGAACCTATACAGCATGTTACTGTACTAAATACTGTAGGCAACTGCAACAGAATGGTAGGTACTGGCATATCTAAAAATAAAAGATAAACAATAGTACACCTGTATAGGGCACTTACCATGAATGGAGCTTGCAGGACTGGAAGTTTCTCTGGGTGAGTCAGTGAGTGAGTGGTGAGTGAATGTGAAGGCCTAGGACATTACTGTACACTGCTGTAGATATTTACAAACACTGTACACTTAGGCTACACTAAATTTATAAAATGTTTTTATTCGATAATTAACCTTAGCTTACTATAACTTTTTTACTTCATAAACTTAAGTTTTTTTAAAACTTTTTGACTCTTGTAGTAACACTTAGCTTAAAACACAAACACACTGTACAGCTGTACAAAAATATTTTCTTTATAGCCTTACTCGAAAAGGTTTTTTCTATTTTTAAAAATTTTTTTATCTTTTTGCGTTTTAAACTTTTTTGTTAAAAACAAAGACACACACATTAGTGTAGGCCCACACAGGGTCAGGATCATCAATACCATTGTTTTCCACCTCCACATCCTGTCCCACTGGAAGGTCTTCAGGGGCAATAACATGTATGGAGCTATCACCGGCATCACCACAAGCACGTAAGTAATGTGTGGTGCTACAGCATTATGATAGCTACGACATCATCACTAGGCGGTAGGAATTTTTTAGCTCCATTATCTTATGAGACCACCGTTGTATATACGGTCCATTGTTGACTGAAACATTGTTATGCAGTGCATGACTGTATATGGTAAGATTGAACCCTGGAAATTCCAGAGAATCAACTAAAAAACAACTATAAAAAGATAGTTTAGTAAGGAAATAGTTTAAAGAATTAATATACTGAAAAAAAGAGCTTTCCTAAATCATAATTACTTAGAAGATAATGGAACAAAGACACCAATCCCATTCACAACAACAACGACAACAAAATATTCAAATAAATGTATAACATCTATTTGAAGAAAACTCAAATACCTCTGACGGTCACAAAAAAAATGAATAAAAAATACAAGGCATACTTTGTAAGATTCAACACAGCATAACAATGTCAATTCTCCCTAATTTATAAATGCAACGCAATCCAAAAAATATCAGAGTGTTTTCATTTTGTTTTAACTAGATGATTATAAAGTTTACAAGGGAAAATAAGGAAACAGGAATTGTTCTTTTCCAAGCTATGAGGGAGGATAAACACTACCAAATATTAAAATATATAATAAAGACTCAGTAATTAAAACAGTGTGATCCTGGATCATGACTAGTAGACCAATAGAACAGAATAAAAGTCCAGAAATAAACTCAAATACATATAGGAGTTTAGTATCTGATAAAGGTAGAATCTCAAATCAATTGGTTATCCACATGGAAAAAAACAGTTTGATCCATACCTCATAAAGTGCACCAAGAGACACTGCAAAAGGATGGAGTATTTAAATATTTAAAAAACCCACAAACCTATAAACAAACAGCAACAATACAAACTAAAAAAGCATCATAAGAAACCTGGAGAAATTTTATAACCCCAGAGTGAGGAAGCCCCTTCTACATATCAAACTCTAGAAGCCACAAAGGAAAAGATTGATCAATTCAACTACATAAAAATCAAAAAACCTTCTGCCACATATGCAGTATTTCCCATGATAAAAAGTAAATTTAAAAAACCATCGGGGCCAGCCTGGTGGCATAGTGGTTGAGTTCGTGTGCTCCGCTTTGGCCGCCCAGGGTTTGTGGGTTTGGATCCTGGGCGCGGACCTCTGCACTGCTTATCAAGCTATGCTGTGGGAGGCATCCCACATATAAAGTGGAGGAAGATGGGCACAGATGTTAGCCCAGGGCCAATCTTCCTCAGCAAAAAGAGGAGGATTGGCAGCAGATGTTAGCTCAGGGCTAATCTTCCTTAAAAAAAAAAAAAAAAACCTTCTACATGGCAAAAAACACAACAAATCAAAAGACAAATAGCAAACTGGAAAAAAAAAAAAGCTTTCAATAGGAACGACTGAGAATGCCCAGAAATTGGTAAAATAGACCAATAATTCAAGACAAAAACAGACAAAGGCTATGACTAGAACAGTCATTCATGCAGCGTTTATTCAGCATTTACTATGTGCCAAGTATTTCTCTGGGTGCTAGGGATCCAAAAGTTAAAATAGACGAATATCCCTGCCGTCAGGGAACTTACATTTAAACAGGGGTAATCTGATGAACAAAATAAAGAAAATGTATTTTATTAGGCAGTGGTAAGCACTATGGAGAAAAATAAAAACAGAGGATAAGGAGAACTGGTAGGGGGTTGAGTGTTGCAACTTTAAATAAGGTCTCATCAAGGTTACACATGAATAAGACCTGCAGCAGGTGTGGCTGTGAGCTTGGGAGTCTCTTGGGGAAGGACATGCCAAGGGGAAGGAACAGCAAGTGTAAAGGCAGAAGCATGTGTAGCTTGTTCACAGACTAGCAAGGAGTAAGAGGCAGAGAAGAGAGGATATGATCAGAAGCACCAGTCTGGAGAATGGGTAGGCAGAACTGTGTAGGCCTGTATGTGGGCCTTTACCTGTGTTTTGATAAGTTGCTCAATCTCATGCATAAGGGAAATTAAAACTGCAGTGACAAACTATTTTGTACCTATTGGACTAAGGTTTGACAACTCTGTGTGTTGCTACATGTGATAAGGAAAAAGACACTCTCGTATACTGCAGAATTTTTTATAATAGCAAAGGACTAGAAATACCCTGAATATCTATAGTACCAGGCTGGTTAAATAAATTATGATTCAACTATTTGATAGAATATTATATCACTGTTAAAGAATAAAGAAATAAAAAAAGAAAGAAAAAGAAAGCTCTTTTTCTTTAGCTATTGACAGAGAAAGATCTCTAAGATAAAGTGTTAAGTGAAAAAATCAAGATGAAGTACAGCAGTATGCTTCCGTTTGTGTTTCTAAAAAGGGGCTTAAAAATACGTCCTTGAACTTGCTTGTATATGCACAATCCAACAGGACAAACAAAAAACGAATAGTTATATCATTAGTGCTGGTTGGTGGGAACTGGTCGGGTGACACTGAATACTTTTTACACTTCTTTATTTTTAAACCATGTAAATGTATTACCTATTCAAAAGAAGTAAATAACTTAGATAAAAATGCTAAAATCGGGCTGGCCCTGTGGCTTAGCGGTTAAGTGCGCGTGCTCTGCTGGCGGCCCAGGTTCGGATCCCGGGCACGCACCGACGCACCGCTTCTCCGGCCACGCTGAGGCCCCGTCCCACATACGTCAACTAGAAGGATGTGCAGCTATAACAAACAACTATCTACTGGGGCTTTGGGGAGAAAAAAGGAGGAGGATTGGCAATAGATGTTAGCTCAGAGCCGGTCTTCCTCAGCAAAAAGAGGAGAATTACCATGTATGTTAGCTCAGAGCTGATCTTCCTCACAAAAAAAAAAAAAAAAGCTAAAATCTCTTTAATGCAGCCTATCTCAGTTACCAAGATCCAACCAGAGATTGCTCTCTAACCCTGCCAGTGCTCAGCAGGTGTGGCAAAGACAGCACACCTTCCTTCCACGGGTCTCACCTCTATAGGGATATAAAGCATGAATCCTGGCTCTCCCGTGTGGGTCATGCTCATCACCCGGATCCCGTTTGCATAGCCCACACTCATTTCCTGTGGAAATAAAGGGAGACGGTCAGCATGGAAACTCCTCAGGGGAAGTGGGCACTCAGTACACTTGTTAAAGGAAGGAATGCCTGAGGTAGACCCCTCTCATTACCTCTGTGTCCTCTCTTTGACCGTATAGGAGACACATGTGAATGAAAGAATTTCATCCTCAAAATGGTGTATTTCCAGGTATTGGGGTCATTAGGAATGGAGCCTTTACAATATCTCTTTTCATAAATATGACCATTTCAGGAGTGCTAGCCAACCAGCTGGTACAAAGTGGAGGCAAAGTCTTTGACAGGCATGAAATATTTTCTTTTCGAAAAGTCCTGCTAAAGATTTGTTTAGTCAAGGGGATTGGGAGCAACGAAGACCAGGCAAATGTCTTCTCTGGGGGACTCGGCAGACAAGTCCTGGGCACTTGCCCCACAAAAGATGATGCCTAATGCCCACAGAACATGGTTCACCTGTTACTCTGGGGTCAGAGACCGGGCTTCTAATGTTGAAAATGTATTTAGAGCAGCTCAGTTACCTAACGGGCCTCGGACTCCATCGCTCTTCCTATAAAGGAAAGCAGTAAGTCCCAGAGGTACTAAAACAAATGTTTCCACAGCAGGCCCAACATAATGTGGTACTCAGTAGGTGCATGCAGACGGATCGCTCCTTCAAGCAGCAAAGAAAGGGCTGGGAAGGGGTCTGCTGATAGCTAACAGAGTTTTTTGTTGCTTTCACTCTGCCATGGAGAAAAGGGAAACTGTGAAATCAATTAGTAAGGGGATCCCAACTTTGGTTTGAACTTCAAAGAGCCTCCGTCAGTAACTGTCCCGAAGCCACTTGTTACAGGTTGCAAAACGTCTGTTTGGATCTCTCTAATCAGCCACTTCCTAGAGAGTATTCAGTTATCATTTCTTTTATTCAGTTACAATTTGTTTCACTCAGTTATAGTGAAAATTATGTAAGTTGTTTAGGGAGTCACCTAAACCATTTCTTACCTGAAGATGCCACATACACAGAAGTTACTCTGCGTATGGAAAAGAGGAAGCCCTGCATGGAGAGAAGGGACCTGACCTTGACTGGCATTTTTTGGCGTCAGTGTCATAATCCTATAAGAAAAAATTTAATCCACTGCTACAGAAAGCAATAAATATATAGGACTGATATTCAGAAAAGCTAAATCCACTTCAAAGATATCCTAATGCTTATTAAATAAGGAAACCTTGAAGGGTGAAAAAAATAAAGAAATGAATTTATTCATTTTGTTTGCCTAATAAAAGAACACACTTTGTGGGTGCTAACACCACAGTAAGAACATGTAATTGCCAGCTCCATAAAAGAAAGACTCCTTGCCCATTTAAAAGCTAGAACTTGGGGCTGGCCCGGTGGCGCAAACGGTTAAGTGTGCGTGTTCCGCTTTGGTGGCTGTGGCGGCATCCCATATAAAGTAGAGGAAGATGGGCACAGAAGTTAGCTCAGAGTCAATCTTCCTCGGCGAAAAAGAGGAGGATCAGCATAGGATGTTAGCTCAGGGCTGATCTCCCTCACAAAAAAATAAAATAAATAAATAAAATAAAAGCTAGAACTTGACCAGCACCTACCTTGCAAAACAGACTTGGGAAGTGGTCTGGAGTCATAGGGGCATAGGACAACTCAGACAGCACATCCACAGCTCGAGGACCAATCAGATTGAGGGCTAAACGGAAAAAAACAAGAGATGTCTGGCTGCTCCAGGTGAACAACTGAGCCAACGGGAAAGGTTTGTTCTGGACTTGCTCACCTATGGCCAGGCCTGGGGTGGCAAGACCACTAAAGCATCCCTTTGCTTAGGCAATCCAAGGATGGACAAGAGCACCCTGATTCTGGCAAATTCACCTCTTCCGACAGGCCTGCTACATGCAGCTACGGACTGCCGGCATGACAGAGCCTGGCTACTGTGTTTCCTCTTCTGGGTGCACAGGAAGACAACATTCCATGTCCTCCTGTGCAGTTAGAGGGGATCATGAGACCAAGTCCTGGCCAATGGGATAGGAGCCCACTTCCAGGACTGGCCATAAACCCCCTGCACAATTCCCATTCCCTTCCTCTTCCCAGTGTGGTTACATGATGGAAAAAGCCCCAATCCCAAATCAGCACCAGGACGAGAGCTGCCCAATCACTCAGGATTCTGTCATGTTTGTGACAGCAGCTTGTGCTAATTACACATCAACTACCTTCATATAGGCTAGAAAACAACTTTGGTTCAACAAGATTCTGTAGTTTGCCAATCATACTTGCCACTATGATGAATTCAGAATGAGGGCTTCGTCAGGTAAGGGGCAGGAGTCAGTTAAGTGGGGAATGGGGTGGAAGTGGAGGGGCCACTCCCCTAACAGGACTGCTGAGGAAGAGAATCAGGAAATTTAAGTATTCCTTAAAAATTATTCACTCATTTAAAATAAAAAAAGCTAAGGGGAAATTTTGATGAAAATAATACTTAGGTAATAAATATAAAACTACTTTAAAAATTATTTACTTGGTTAGCCCTAGTGGCTTACTGGTTAAATTCGGCATACTTCATTTCAGTGGCCCAGGTTCGGTTCCCAAGCACAGACCTACACTGCTCTGTTAGCAGCCATGCTGTGCTGGCGGCCCACATACTGGAAAAAAAAAAAAAAAAAAAATAGAGGAAGACTGGCACAAATGTTAGCTCTGGGCGAATCTTCCTCAGGAAAAAAAAAAAATTATTCAACAATATTTGCTTTCCTACATGCTGGCTGTGAGGGATATAGCACTGAACAAACAGAAACCGAAGCAATAACCCATCCCACACTGCACTTATGAACATGTGGGGAGGATTAGAGATCAATTTTCTATGACCAGAGAGCCCCTCCACACTTCTAATTCTGACACTCATTTCTGAATGTCAAATATCATGAAGGTGAATGGAGATGAATCTGGATTGGCTGGCCTTTTCTTGCACAGCTGACCCCAGAGGGCCACCTTACCAGTGTATTTCCAGGTGACATCCTCCAAAAGCAGGTTGCTGTCTTTCGGCATGTATTTCTTAAGCCAGGCCCAACAGTGGACCTGCTGGTCAGTTGGAGAAATCATGAAGAAACTAAAAGTGAGACCCAAAGTAATCAAAACCAGGCAGCAGAAAAAGGACCAGGAAGGAATCAAGTTCTCAGCTCGTTTCAAAGCAATGAGTAGAATACTGGCAAATGACCTCTCAGCTTTCAGGGAGGGCCAGTAGCACATAATTCTAGGATATACCACATAAGGACAAAACGAAAGATTCTGGCTTCCTATTACTGCCAAGAAATGATACTGACCTAGTAATGTAAGATAAGGCATCTTCTCCCAGTAGGGTAACTCATTTTTCTACATCAAGTTTTACATAACCTGGTGAGTTTCTTCTTTTTCTGGTGATTTCTTTTTGTACTGGGCTGCTAATGAACTGGCTATGAGTTAATGAAATTTTTTTTTTGTCCTCAGTATAATTATGGTTTCTTGGAAAGTGAATTGGGTGCTCTGCTCAGCACCCTTAGGGAAGCAGTGTGCAGGAGGGAGCAGGGTGGATGGTGGCGATCCTCACCTGCGCTTGCTCAGCCGCGCTATGCTGCAGTCATTTTCGTACCCTCCACCCTCGTTGAGCATGCCAGTATGCACAATGTGGCCCACGGGCACATCAAGGTCATTGGAGAAGAGGTACTGTAGAATGTCTAATGCCTGATCCCCAGTAGACTGTAGGGTTAGGGAACAAAGCAGAGAGAGTGAGCACAAGAGCATCTGGCTGAGTAACACAGCCTGACGAGCAATGCGACTTGCTGAGAAAATTCAATTAGCCAGTACTCATGCAACAATATGTGCAGATTTACTCCACTGCAAGAAGTTCCAGAGAAAGCTAGCTATTGATTCTAATGATAAATGGGCCTCTGCAAGCAGATTAAAAACCAGAAACAAAGAGCTAAAAATTCAGAGAACTATTATAATACAGATAAGACACTAAAATATACCAGAGTTCTTACAGAATCAGTTTTGAAATGACAGATGAAAAATAGGAGGCACTCAATAAATACGCAAAGTTTCCTAATCTGTTATATTGGTTTCCAAATACTTACTGTTATTTCAAACTTTGTGAAAGAAGACATGTCAATGACACACACAGCTTCCTTACAGCACTTGACTTCGGACTCCACAATGTCAAACCAATCTGGCTTATAGAAGGTCTTGCTCTGCTCCAATGCCAGGAGGTCTGCGGAAAGGAAAAAAAAAAAAAAGAAAGAGAGAAAAGGAAGGGATCTATATTGGGAGTCTCCCTGTATAGTTTAGTACAGTATAACAGATTTTTATTATTTATTCTTCCAGGAACACATTCTAGCTATATACATGTAAAATTAAGTTTTATTAATTCTCAGGGAAAAAAAAAAAGAACAAAAATGAGAATGTGTCTTCTTACCCTTGTCCGGTGGCACGAAGTACTTTGGCCTCTCGAATCCATGTTTCTCCATCCACCTGGCTCCTTGTGCATCTAGCCGGTCATAGAGGGGAGATGTGCGTAACTGCCTCCCGGTCTGGAAGTCCCAACGGGGAACCTTCAGATCGTACAGCAGAGCTAAAACAGATAAGAACAATCTATGAAAGCACAATCCACAGAGCTGAGTACTCAATATCCACTAGACTCTGGAGTTGCTCCTATTCAAAAGAGCATGCTTTCTGGGCTAATGTAGCCTAAAATTTGCCAAACAGTACCCAGTATCACAGCATGCTCCAGAAGAAAGAATAATATCGCAAGAGCTGATATCTTCCCTCCATAGAGTTATATAGCTATGAGTCACGTAATGACTCTAGGTCTCTGTTCACAATTATCATTCCAAATTCGTAGGTAGAAACAATGGGAGAAAAGTCACAGTTCTAAACCTTGCTAAGCTCTACTGCAGAGACGAAGGTTATATCTAAGTGGGACACAGGTGGTTACAAAGTGTGAAAAAATAGCACTTGATTCCTAACAGTGCCTGTGTTGTTGGGATCTCAGACCTGTTACAGACATTTCCTCTCTAATATTTAACCCATTTCTGAAGTGAAAGGGCACATAGCATACCTTGATTTGGTGGCTCTGAAATCTGACAGGTTGCATAGTATTGTCCCAGTGACATTATTCACATAACAAAGCTAGGGTCAGAATTCATTTCTCCTAATGTCCAATCTGCAACAGCAATAAGTAAAAATAGCCAGAAAGAGTGTGATCTCTAGTCCCTTCTAAAGAGAAGACCTGACCTCACACCATTCCAACCAAGAGTTACATCAGGGTGGTGGGGAGATTGGGAAATTAAACAGAAGGAAGCCACACTGGTTTCCTTATACTGTGAAGATTTGTCAGTCTCCTCTGGTACTTTAGGTTCTACTTTCTCCTTCCCCATTTTCTATCATGCCTGCAATTTCTATTTTATGAGAATCAGAGAAGACCACCAAAAGTGTCATCTCATCAAGGAGAAGCTCAAGCTCAATTATGATTGCACAGGTTTTAAAGTAACTATAGATGGGGAAATATAGACTTACAATAGTTCAACATTTTAACCAAAAGAGTTGCTAAAAATAAAGAACCTTAGCAGTTACACATAGTGCTGCCAGGTCCTTTATCTCCCACAGGCATGAGTTCCCTGCCACAGGCCAAAAGTGAGCATGCAGGTGGTAAAGGGCATCCAAAGGCCTCATCGTGAATGGAACTTCCAGCTACTGAAACAACAGTTCATTCTTAATCAAGAATGGTGGTCACAGGCAATGCAGAAACTTAGTCCTGAGCATAAATATGCCCAAAATATTTAGATATATTTTGGCAAAGTCTGAGAATAGTTCCTCAGCATAGGAAAATGAAATTACAATCTGATTTGGTTCAATTCCTCACACAAAAGCTGTCTCTAAGGGCTTACTAGAAAATAAATCAGGGCCGGCCCCGTGGCTTAGCGGTTAAGTGCGTGCGCTCCACTGCTGGCAGCCTGGGTTTGGATCCCAGGCGCGCACCGACGCACCGCTTGTCCGGCCATGCTGAGGTCACGTCCCACATACAGCAACTAGAAGGATGTGCAACTATGACATACAACTATCTACTGGGGCTTTGGGGGAAAAAACGAGGAGGATTGGCAATAGATGTTAGCTTAGAGCCAGTCTTCCTCAGCAAAAGGAGGAGGATTAGCATGGATGTTAGCTCAGGGCTGATCTTCCTCACAAAAAAAAAAAAAAAAGAAAAGAAATCAGAGACAAGGTAGAGTAATAAGTTAAAAGGAGGAGGCCAATCCTTCAAAGTTGGAGGGAAGCAAGATCAAGGAAAAAGAGAGCAGGAATGTATATTTTGTATTTACATGAGAAGTGGTTTTCTATCTTGCTAGCATATAATGGGTTAATGACAAAAGTCACTCGGAGAAGCCTGAAGCTTTGAGAATAACTTGGCAAATTCTCTGCCTTGGAAAGCAAACCATATCTCAAAGACTAAGTGGGGAGCGAGAGCATTCACTCTCACATAGGGTCTTTCCAGGCAAAGTGGAAAGCAGGCAATGCTAGGAATAAACAAGAAGCTGGTGTGGGGAGTTTGACAGGAATTACCATCTGTAAGCCCTGTTCTACTTTCTTGTTCCCTGGAGTAAACAAGGCACAATACACTAAAGAAAATGTTCCATAAATACCACGTGGGACATAATGCCCCAAACACAGGCCTGAAACAGTCAAACATCAGAAGCCCCACTTGAAGCAATTATTTTAACTGAGGAAAAATCTGCCCTCTAAATGGTAGAACAGGCCCCAAGTAAGACACCTGCAACTAGGTGCAATTGGGATAAAGCTTCACTTACGCATGACTTCCATGACCCGGTGGCGCAGAAAGGTACGGCTACTCTGGAGGGCTCCAAAACGTTTCAAGTCCAATTCCCAGACATTTTCTGAGGGATAACCATGCATCATCCATTCCGCGAGGTACCTGTTTAGATGTGGGGGAAGTTGTGGGCCTCAGATGGGATACTCTCAGCACTGTACTAGGAATCAAGAACCAACAGATTCAAAGATCACATACTGTCACAGACTGGTTGAGCAATTCTAGGCAATTTCCTTAACTTTTATGGAAGAAACAAACATGGCTCCATCTACTGCTCTCACAAGACCACCATGAGGATTTCAGCTCTGATGATAATATTCCCTAGAAAGTGTTTAAGACATAAGCCACATCTATGAAGAAATAAGACTAAAATATACATAAAAGTGTATTCTAATTTATACATCCAATGGGTTTTTTCTATAAAACAGACACCTCAGGAGGTTATACAGTTATCTGACCACATCTCTGCTCCAAACGTTTTTGGTAACTCCTCTTACATAACTGTTTTTCGAACCATTCTACAAGTCAACCAAGAAAAAATGGCCTCATTAAAAAAAAATTTTTTTTAATAGTGGTAAAATACACATAAAATTAAATTGACCATCTTAACCATTTTCAAGTGTAAAGTTCAGTAGCATTAAGTACATTAACACTGTTATGTAACCACCACCACTATCCATCTCTAGAACTCTTTTCATCTTCCCAAACTGAAAATCTTTATCCATTAAGCAGTTACTCTCCATTCTCCCCTAACCCCAGCCCTTGGCAACCACCATTCTACTGTCCGTCTTTAGAAACTGGACTTCTCTAAGTATCTCATATAAGTGAAATCACACAGTATTTGTCCTTTCATGATTGGCTTATTTTTATTAGAACCTAACTTTTAAATAAAAACTTGTATTACTCAGCAGGATCGTCTATCTCACCACAACTGGATGTTTCCAAACTCAAATACTCACTAAGCTGAGTTTGAGTGAGAAAGACTTACTTTCCAGCTCCTCCGCCAAAGGAAAGGCCAGCAGAGTTCATTCCTGCCAGGACAAAGTAGCCATGTACTGAAGGAGACTCGCCCATGATGCACCTCATGTCTGGTGTGAAGGTCTCGGGGCAATTCACCAACTTCATGATCTCCAGAGTCTCCAATTCTGGCATCCTACGCAGGAGGGAACTCAACAGGGGCTCTAAGCAATAAAAACAAACCCCAATAGAGTGCTCAGCTTTAGGGAATTCAACTCCTTATGCTTTTCTATTCCCTCTCCTTTCAGAAATTCTCTTGGAAGAGGTTTTCTAAGGAGAGCCAACTAGGCCATTTTATCAGAAAGTAGAATCTGTGGTGGAATTATGGGACACACCTACAAAGTGTTGGGCATAAAAACTGAGAGAAAAGATACTCTTGAGAAAGGAAAGGAGCTGTGGAAGAACAAATAATACATATGGCCACAGATGAGAATCTTGAAGGGATCATACTCATGGAAAAGCTTTTAAATGGCACCCAAAGAGATATACAGTGAAAGACAAGGATTTCTGAAGTTGGAATAGCTGCAAAAGACAGATCCTTAGCCTGTTTTAAAGTAAGTCCATCATCTAGGAATAATCCAGCGGGACAGCAGTAAAAGATGAAACCAGACTGAAGCTGGCTGGTGGGTACATGGGGGTTTCTATTTACTGTTCTCTCCACTTTTAAATTTGGAAATTTCCCACAATAAAAAGTTTATTAAAAAAAAAGAGTCCATCAAGGATGGGACGGAAACTCACTATAGACCTTTTCATATCTTTTGAATTTGGAACCAGGTGACCATATTAACTATTCAATAAATAAAATTATTTAAAAATTGAGTAAAAGACTATTAACAAAACAATTCTGCTTCCTAAAACTTTCTTCAATCTTATATGAAGTTCTACAGAAAGGTTTCCTCCTAGCCTAAAATTTCAGTAATGATTTTAGGTGAATAAGTAATAAGCCAAAAGGCCCTTAACCAAGATTGTAGTCCCCTGAATCTACCACCTGTAGCTGCATCCTTAGACCAGGCACACTCTGTAGACTGCCCTCTAGAACCTCGACATGGGGTTGTTACAAAGATCAAATAAAGAACTCTTCCTGAAAATGCTTTGAAAAATATAACATCTTAGACAAATATAGGGCATTATTGTTATAATCTAGTTCACACACCAAAATGATCCCAGTCTTCCTGTAGATTCTGAATCTCCAGCTGGTTCTTGCCCTCAGTGAAAATTGGTTTCGGGTTCTTCTCAAAGCCCCCAGACAAGATGCCACCCTGCCAGTTCCGAATATAAATTCTTCCGTCAGTATCCACAATAGCTACGGAAGAGAAATGACAAGGGAGTGGGGAGTAGAAGAGAGAAACAGAGTTTAGAGGTAAGCCAGCTGTCTAAATGGACAGAAAAAAGCAAAACAAAAACACCCATTATTGGCTTCACTAACGAAACAGTATCCAGAGAACACAGGCATTCATTAGCTTGAAAATACCTTTGAGGTCATGGGGGAGGATCCTCCCTCTCAGACTAACAGTGGAGACTGTTTCTTTGATTACCCCTAACCCAATTAGTTACCTAGAAGCTTTGACTAGTCCTCACAACCAAACTACGTAACTGCCACTGTGCCACGTTGAAAGCCTAACAGAAAGGGGGATTGCAGAACCCATTCTAGGGATTAAGACCTTCAAAGTGAGGTCAAACCCTCTCCTACGGCACTCAGGGTCACTGAACAACCTGAGTTTATAGCTTACCCGTGAAATTTCAACAATGCACAGCATTCAAGTCAAAAACTCCAGGTGACATTCCAATATTCTTAATTTAGACCTCTGCTTGGGACTACAATTAGCTTGCAAAAAAACAACAAAAAATTGCTTAAGTGGAATGCCCATTTTAGTCATCCTTTGATAAAGAGTTCTTAAAGAAAAGTTAGAATTGAGTCCACCTCCCTATAACATGCTCCAGAAAAGACAAGACTCTCTTGGGCACAGTCTGTCCTTAGCAGAAAGTCCTCCTTCTCAGAGGACAGAACCAAGGCAAGGAAAGAAGATGACAAACAAAGTGCAGGTCCTCACTTGGTGTGTTGCTCTGCAGAGGGGTCTCCAAGGGGCGAGTCAGAAGGTAGAAGTGTTCGCAGGCATGTAACGGGATACTAACCGGCTCCTCGTTGGACAGGCCCAGCTCATATGCCCACTACAAATAGACAGATTTATTTGTGGGTGGGAAGAGGAACAAAGACAAATGAGCAACTTCAGCTGCTTGAAAAGAGTTTAATTTCAAGTGGCTTGTGGGTGCTTCTGCTACAATGTCAGGTGTACAAAGCCAAGTTTCAGCTTGCCTTAGAGTTCAACTATTTGGACAGGACGCTATACTTAGAGTCTATACTATAGCAATACTGTACTTTTTTAACCATAAAACTTACTTTTAGATCAAATGAAGGTGGATTTACCAGCTAGTAAAAGAAGCTCATGGGGAGCAAATGAGGCCCTTTTAACAAAATACCTGGCCTCAACTACAAACCCCAAATACCAACCATAAATGAATTTCACGTGGCAGAAAGTATTCCTAGGTCACCTTAAGACTGTAGAGTGGAAGGCAAGGGACGAATCTGCCTTAAAAGTACAAGCAGCTTAGCATTCTGGAAACTGAATCCACGCTCCTGACAATATAGAATAGCCTAATACTTTACTTGCTAGGTTGTACAATGAAATGGAACACCACAGAAAGACCCAATGCCAAGGATTTACATCAGCGCCCAACTGTTTCCTGGCCTTCCTGACCAGCATAGCACCAATTAACCCAGGGTGGAGGAAAGCAAAGGCCACAGGTGCTTCTACTGGAGGAATAGCTACAGGTTTCTAATTTGAAGTACAAGAATTCTGAGTTTTCGGGGCTGGCCCGGTGGCACAGTGGTTAAGTGCTTCGGGCCGCTTCGGCGGCCCGGGGTTTGCTGGTTCAGATCCCGGGCACACACCAGCACACCGCTTGTTAAGCCATGCTGTGGCAGTGTCCCGTATAAAGTGAAGGAAGACAGGCACAGATGTTAGCCCAGGGCCCATCTTCCTCAGCAAAAAAGAGGATTGGCATCGGATGTTAGCTCAGGGCTGATCTTCCTCACACACACACAAAAAAATTCTGAGTTTTCCAGTCCAAACAAGAAACAGTGTGGTCCTTGACATCTGTTTAGTCCATCACAATATTAATCTTATGTCTCCACCAAAAAATCCCAAAGACAAAAGTTAAATTAAAAAACCAGTGACCCAGTATTGTTGCTAACCTACCTGACCAGCACAGTTGACAAAATACTGACATTCAATTTGTCCTTTATCTGTCTCCACGCCAGTAACTTGACCTTTTTTGACTATTACATGAAGAACACTGGTCCGGTCATAGATCTGAACACCTGTTCCAAGGTAAAGAAAGAGTTGGTGCGTCCATCCTTTGATGTTCCAGAGCTAAGGAATCTGCAGCAGATTCTCAACTCAGAAGAAATACTGAAAAGGCCAGGTCAATGCTTTAATTTTAAAAAACAAAAAACTCTTAGGAACCACATCCTGAGACAGTGCAAATGGTCCTTTTCCAAGATTGAAAATAGCAGACCAATTTAAAAACTGACTTTAGTACACAATTAAATTCCAGGAATCATAAAAGGGGCAGGGGAGACAAGTCAAATAGGGCATCTTAAATCCTAATCAACCCACATCATGAATCAGTTCATCCAAAGAGTATAACACCATGGACACTGATTAGTTTTCCCCTCATTCATTCCAACGCTGGGACATGATCCAACCTGTGGATTAAATCCCCGGGTGTGTTCTAATCTTGGAACTTCTCTGGTCCTGTGGGGGAAAAAATTCCAGTCTGAAGTGCATTAACCAGTACTAAAAGCAGTTCCTTGGAAGTTTATAAGAAAAATGTGGCCATGAGGAAAAATATTTATTAACAGATATTATATTAAAACAAAATTTTAAGAGCCAGTGCTCAAAAATGGAAGCTGAGTTGCTGTCATTCTCTATTATGAGACACGTTCTTAGATAACTTCTTCCTTCCTAACCCAAAAACCTGCTTACCATTTTGGGAGGCAGCGCTTGCCAGGGCAAGAGCCACATCAGCGGAGGACACCAATGCATCCTCAGGAACATGCATGGCCCCCACCAGGTCGTGCACATTGAGGAGAGGATGAAGTTCAGCCACTTTCTTGGGGGAGATGATCTCAGAAGGGATGCCTATAACACTGCCACAGAACACAAGGGGACAATGACATTCACTGGCCCTCTGGCAGGGGTCAGTCTGACAGTAAAGTCAGGACAGGCTTCTAGCCTCATACGTACTTCAGCCTTGAGTTGATGCGCTTCAGAGAGATCAGCCGGTCCTGAGTTTGGGCCAGAAAGATTGAGCCTGTCCTTATGTAACCTGTAAGAAAAATCAGTCCAAACTGAGACAGACCAGGCCAAATATAGGGTGGCAGAGAGGCAAGCCCACTAGATTATAAGTTAGAAGAACTGTGATGAGTCCTGGGACTGCCACTTACTATTCTTGGGCAAGTAAAGTAGCTTCCTCTGAGCTTCTACTGAAAATTTAAAGCACACCAGATACACTAAAACTAAGGTTCCATTCTCTATCCAAACATTCTGAGCTCAGAGTTTTGTGAGAATCAAATGAGATTATAATGTTCATAAAACCACTCTTACAATAAAAATGAAACATATCATTGCTAAAAGATCTTTTGGGGGCAGTGATGCCACCTAGAATCCGTCTCTGTTCTTCACTCCTTTTAGGCAGTTTCACCTTTCTCCTCCGAGTTTTGGTGGGAGTGTAACCCTTGATGAAGGCGACTCACAACATCAGCCCCCCAGAAGGTTGGACCCTCCCTCTCCTTCCCCAGTATAGACAGTGGGCAAGTGACCTAAGCTCAGCCAGTAAGACCCTCCTGGAGTACTGGGGTCTTGAGCAAGTAGGTGAATGGCTGGAGGTCACTCATATCAGGAGCAGCAGCATCCTGGCCAGACCATTCCAGACCATTCGTGTTGCAGCTGAGGGACTGCCTGCTGTACAAGTCCCCACATCCTGGCCTCCGTGCTGCCTCCAGCTAGCAGCCCCCTGCCAACTCTAAAGGCCCCCAACAGCCTTCCATCAAAGTCCTTTTTGCCCAAGTTAGCCAGAGGTGACATCTGTTGTTTGCAATCAACACACCTGATACAACCATTATTACACGTGAGTCAATGACAATCCTCCTAACTGCAATTACTCTTAGTTCTTATGAACAAAAAGTTGAATCAATAAGGTATCTTTTAAAAAGGAAGTATAGTGAGGACAATTTAAATATTTCCTTAATTTCTTTTGAAATCAGATACATACAGGCATACCTCGTTTTATTATGCTTTGCTTTACGGTGCTTTGCAGATATTGCTTTTTTCAACAAATTGAAGGTCTGTGGCAACCTCGTGTCAAGCAAGTCCACTGGCACCATTTTTCCAACAGCATTTGCTCACTTCGCTCACATTTTGGTAATTCTTGCAATATTTCAAACTCTCATAATTACTATATTTGTTATGGTGATCCGTGATCTCTGATGTTACCATCGTAATTGTTTTCGGGTCCCACAAACCACATCTATATAAGATGGGGTACTTAATCGATAACTTATGTGTGTTCTGACTGCTCTACTGGCCTGCCATTCCCCCGTCTCTCTCTCTCTCTCCTCGGGCCTCCCTATTCCCTGAGACAAAACAATATTGAAATTAGGCCAATTAATAACCCTACAATGGCCTTTAAGTATTCAAGTGAAAGGAAGAGTTGCACATCTCTCTTTAAATCAAAAGCTAGAAGCGATTAAGTTTAGTGAGGAAGGCATGTCGAAAGCCAAGATAGGCTGAAAGCTAGCCTCTTGCACCAAACAGCCAACTTGTGAATGCAAAGGTAAAGTTCTTGAAGGAAATTAAAATCGCTACTCCAGTGAACACACAAATGATAAGAACGCGAAACAGCCTTATTGCTGATATGGAGAAAGT